TGTAAAAGCAATGGTGGCATTTCACTGGTATTGTTTGCACAAAAAGCCATTGTAAGTCTGGAGGGAGATGTCACCGAGCCATATTCTGGTGGGAAAAAGCCCTAAAAGAAATGCTTCAGCATTAAGTTATTTTATGGGGACTGGCTGGAATGAGCTGCTTTGGGGAATCAGGCCCTGCACCCCGTCAAACAAATTGACTCATCCAATGGTTAACAGAGAGAGAGAGAGAGCAGCAGTGCTTTGCTGGGTCCCTTCCAGCTGGTTTGCTTGATGCTGCGTTTGCAGTTGCTGCCTGTCACAGCTGCTTTCACACTAAGATTGGTTAGCAAATTTTGGCAGGGTGACAAGCAGCCACAGTTCATCAACTTTGCTCTGATTCAATGTGGAGTGGGAGGGGGAATGGAGCCTTCCAAAATGTTTTGCTAAGCAAGAAGCAGGGCAGGGGCTGCGTGTGGCAGAGTGTGAGCCAAGTAGATGAGAGCGAGGCTTTCTGTGTGATCAAGAGCAAAGCTCATAACACTGTGTGGTGAGTGAGGTATGGATCCCATTTCCTCCACCATTCCCCCACCCCCCAAACCATCCTGAAATTTCAGAAGCTGTTTTTGATCAGCTGGCTTGAAAATAATGACGCTTGCAGCTCCAGGCTGCATCTAGAGAAAGCGAAATTGCTTCCTGTATTTCTTGCTCCTTTTTCTGCTCGTCTGTTTCACTCTGTGTTTCATCCAGGTGTGTACCTTATAGTAGCTTCAAATCCACTTGCTTAGCCAGCAGGCTCCAGCACAGTGCTGGGATCTGTACAAACTTGTGAAATGAAATGGGGAGACAAGTCATGGAGCTGTGTGCAGCAGGACAGCTGACAGAATAACACAGGTTGGTGAATTGGGAACGTAGGGCCAAGTCCTGTCCTCCTTGGTCAGAGAACTGCGTGATAGGAAAAATTCTAGTATGAAATGTTGTAACTTTAAAGGATCTGTAACACACAGTTAGAGGTGTACCTATGTGTCCCTGTTGTAATACTTTACATGGCCCCAAGGCAGTGGGCTTTTCTTAATTTTTTCTTCATTTTCTTTTTCCTCTGTGCTTTGTGTTTTGTTCCTGTGGCATTAGCTGTGGGAACATGCCATTTCTGGGGAAAAAAATGCATATAGTTGCCATGAAAACCTTCTGTGAATCAAGTAACTCCCAATCCCATCCTAAGCACGGAACTCCAGAACAAAGCTTCAGCAAGTGCCTGTACCACAGTGCCTAGATTCCTCTAGTGTTAAGCTGTGTCATATTACTGCTCCGCACAGCAATCTTCAAGTAGTTTGGATCCTTTCAGGCTGTGCTTGCAGCAGACTGGCAGTACTGCCCAGGCTAAGGGGGGGATGCCATCCAGCATGTTCTTTTTTTTATGAAAAGATGCTGTCACTCATGACTATGGAAAATGCCCTTTATTTGCCACACATCCTCCCACCAGCAGCTGCATGCAGATTTCCTCATGTCCTGTCTTGGAACTGCCTTGCAGTGACTCCATGCCGTCTGAAGCTGTTTCATCACAACACTTTCCCTCTCCTATCTGAAGGTGCTTCCAGCTTCATAGCGATGCACGAAGTGGAATCTACAAAACCTGTCTCCATTCTCATCAGTTGATCTCATTTTAATTAAAACTGGAACAGACTTTACCCTCCAGGTTTTGGCCACCCCATTTCTTTTCTTTGAAGCTTCAACCACTTGAGCAGCGTTGCAAGCTATCATCCCTCTCTTCATGCCAAATACCTGACTGGCATCCAATTTCCCCATGCAGGAACTCCTCGAAGTGGGGAAAGGGAGAGAAAAAAAAAAGGTATGAAGTAATTTGCAGGCATCCCATATCCACTTGTATGCAGAATGAAGAGAGGTGTCAGTGAAACCCTTCCCTTCCCTTCCCTTCCCTTCCCTTCCCTTCCCTTCCCTTCCCTTCCCTTCCCTTCCCTTCCCTTCCCTTCCCTTCCCTTCCTCTTTAATCATTGGCAGTTTCCTCTTGCTATTTTTGGAAAAATTCTTGGCGTTTTCCTCCTTTCCTGCCCTTTCTTTCTCTCCAGCCTTGTGTGGAGCCGAGCATTTCGGAGAGGAAAGGAGGCTTTGCCAGGTGCTTTGCTTTGTAACCAGTCTTGCTTCTGTCCTCAGACATCTGTGAGTCTCAGAATTGGAAACCTCTTTTGCATATAAATAAGGTCTGCTATGTTCAGGAGCTACGGTTATGAGTTTATAAGGGAAGTGATCAGATTAATAGGCAGCAATGAGAATGTTCAATTATTCTGGCTTCTGACTAACTATCTTCTGTCAGACCATGTCAGCACACCTCCTCATGTTGAAAGCATTGTCTGAGATCTGTGGAGCACTCAGGCCTTTCCCTTAACCAAAGGCAAATACAAACATGCCCCAACACTAACAGGTAATTTCTCCCACTCCTTCTTGGTTCAGTGGGAAAAAAGTTGCCATCCAAGTATTCAAAGCCGTTTTGGACAATTTGCTCTGATCTCTTCAAAAAGTCATCCCTGTTAATTGCGTTCTTTCTCAGTTTTTGCATGTAAATGCTGAGCCCTTTGGGTGGGAAAATCTCCCCATCCCAACTCCACCACATGCAGAGAGACATGTCACCATCTTTCCTGCTAGCATCTGTGCTTCTCTGCTGACCAGAAATATTTCACCTGACTGTGTTAAGGTTGCTCTGATGTCTCAGTATTTCAGCCACTAAATTGCTTCTGAACACCCAGTTCTTTCCTCTCCTCTGGGAACAATAGAGTGAAGGTCAAGTCTTTGCTCTTACAGCAGAAATTCCAGTTGCTCCCTAATGGCATTTCTGCCTGCTATTGAATTTCTGCCCTGTTATATTACTGAGGCCGTCATCATCTTGCTTCTGATACTGTAGTCCTCTTCAAAGTGGTGGCTCAGTGTCATCAGCAGATCTGCCTGCCTGGATTCTCTTTCTGTCTTGGTCACCAGATGATTTAATTGCTTGATGGATTTAATTGTTGCTGCTTTCTCCTTGTTCACTAGATCCTCTTTTGTCAGTGCAATTGCGGCATAAAAATCCTGGCTTCTGTGCAAATCCCTCTGTAAGGAAGCTAGCATGACTGAAGCTACTTGTACAGGAGTTGTATAACTAATCTCTTAACAAAAATAAGTGAAATCTGGTTGAAAGTGTTTCTCAGTGAAAGAATGAGCATGTCTGGGAATGAATGAGTGGGTGGTAGCCTGCCATGTAAGCAGAGCTGCTCTTTCAAGCTTTGGAATTGCTAAAGGACATGCTTCCCAGATCTCTAGATTCAGGTTTTATCCTCTTAATGCCAAATGACAATTAAAATAAGCAGATACCTGTTGTTGATAAAACTTCAAAATACTTAATGCCTTTTGCTTTACTATGGGAACTATACAGCTGTAAGTAAAAGCAGAGATCTCGTGTGCGTTTCTCGTCTGTTTTCTTCCCCGTTCCTGACATAATGCTGACAAGTCCAGATTTCTTCCACTTTTGATTACCAGTTGAAATCTAAATCCTGCAGATTTGATTTGTGAACCGTCCAGATAACATCCTTCCTCTCTCCACCTGTGCTGCTTCTGGAGCATAGACATTTATCCATGCATTGGAGGGGTTCTGCAGGGCTCCATTCTGATGCCCTTTATGGTTTCATCAATTACTTGGATGCAGGATTCAAAGACAAACTAAGTAAACTTGTGGATGATGCTAAACTAGAAGGAACTGTCATCTCCCTCGATAGGAGAGCAGCCTTGCAGGGAGGGCTGGCCTTAACTACCTGTGTGAAATTCAACAACAGTGTTGAAAAAGTTCTGTGCCCTGGACAAGACAAGCTCTTTCCTTTTGCTTTTCAGGTTATGTGAGGATAGAAGCCAGATTTTTCCATCAGGGTTTTGTTTTGGTTCAAAGCTTTGTGAAAAGAACAAGCTGCTACGCATCACCTCCTCTTGCCATTGGCATATGCAAGGCAACTCGTTCCTCTCTCATGGGCTGTTAGCCCTTCTGAATTACAATGTATATATTGTGTGATGGGAGCAGACACATAACCTGCTACTGGGCACCTCCATGGTGAGTTGTTTGCGTGCTTAAAGCCTGTGACTGGATGTGGAATTCTCCAACATTATCAGTTAATCACGAGCTGCACATAAACAGGTCCCTTAAATTATGCTTTTGGAAATATGTCCCCCTTGAGCTTCTTCATTATCAGTTCAAGACTGCAACAATACCTGATTGATGACTGCCAGCTTCTGGCGGCTCCCCTACACCTTTGAGCCTTGCATGAGTTCCTTAGATGGGCTTAATCCCTCAACTGAGCTTTATGGACTGCTGCCAAACTTTCCCAATAGCACCAAAGTCACTAAGCTTCCTTTCCTTTTCCACTCCTGTTGTGGCTTTCCTATTCTTGTCATGTGTTTTTTTTTTTTCCTCTGTTGAATAATTCAGCTAATACACTGGCACTTGAATGCTTGAGAGCTGTGCGTTCCCTAATGAGGGAAGCAGCTTGCCAACTTTATATCTTTCCAGTCGTTTGACTGTAAACCCAACATCGTTAACAAATCACCATGGAATAGCTGTGGAAATACAGAACAAATTGTGGTTGTCTTAACTTAAGTGTGCAAGGAATTAAAAATAGAATGAAAGAAACCCAAACCCAGCACAGGGAAAGAAATATGGGAGCAAAGTGTGCCTTGAAGGAATGGATGACAATACACAGAAATCTCATGCAACTTCCCTCTGCCTCGCAGTATCTGCAATGAGAAATGATATATGCGAGAATGGATGTTAATTCTCCCAAGAGACACAGCTGTGCTAATTTGGAAGATAGGTGCAGGTGAATCTGTTCGCAGCTCTGATTTTCTTTCATGTTTATGTGAATCAAGGTTTGTATACAAAGCGATTTTTTTCTTTCCCAGCTTGTTTTTTATTTATTGTTTTTTTAGCCTGAAGGTTTTTCAGTCCATGTGACACAGACCAGAGCATTTTGCACACAGATTAATCCCCTATTGGCTTGAGTTCGTTCAGACTAAGATTCACACCGATATATTTCAGGTGAATGTTTAGTCCTGGGCTCTCTGTGCATTTTGTCTTTCCTGGATCCCCATCTCTGCTTACTGGAGCAGCAGCTCTTGGTGCCTGAATGATCCTACAAGATCTCCAAGCAGGTGAGGATATGTGCAAGGTTTCTCATTTCCTTTTCAGGATGACAGCTCTCAGAACTTGGGAATCAGGCGGAAATGTAAGCTGGTTGGGAAGCAGGAAGCTACCTAAGGTAACATGCAAGATAAGGGCACCAAGATAGTATTCTGGGTCTGCTTTACATTAGCTTAACTGGTGCTCTGGGTGCAGGTGCTTAAACTCAGGATGAATCTCATTTTGCTGTTAGATGTTATATATGTAGTTAAAAAGCTGCCAGAGAACGAGTGAATACCATGGCAGTGCTAAAAGTCTTTGTTTTTCATTCAGATTAATGCAGAAGGCTTGTGCTTCTCTAGGCAGAAGTGAAATGTTAGCACACAGTCCTATTGCTTGCACAGAGCACAGGAGCCAGCAAAGCACAGGCAGAAACAAAGTCCTGGGTGTAGACCGTTGTCTTCTATCAAAGAGAGAGCTACAAAGATGTTGGTCAGGATGTCTGGCACATTTCTATCCCTTAAGGACTTGGCAGTGAAACCCTTTCAGAACTGTCTAGATATCCAATAGCATCCAGCTCCAAGAATACTTGCTTAAGGAAGAGCTACTTCCTTGTTAAGCAGCAGTTTAGTTGTGAGGAGGGTGCAAACAATGTCAACATCTCCATTTTTGAAGCAAAGATGTGTTCATGATGGAACAGGCAAGAGATGAGAATTTAATAAATAGAGCTTTTCATCCAGAGATGTCACCATCATTCACATTTCAGGGATGAGGGAATGGAGACCTGTGAAGCTGATGTGGCTCAGATGTTCTCATGCAAGATGTCCTCATGAGGTGGTGGTAAGGTTCCCAGCTTGCACAGGATGAGGGCCTCTTGAATCTCCTCCCAGAGAAATTCTGGAGCTGAACTTAAATTACACTGAGAGCTGCTTGAGCTTAATATCATTATCTTAACTGTGTGCACAGAAAGTAAGCTTTCTAATTTCTTTCCTGTTGTGTTGCCAGTATTCACACAGAATGCAGAGCACCGAGCTGAATGGCAGAGCTAGGCAAAACTTGGGGGTTCTGGATTGAGCTCAACTGATTTTAACTGGAAATTAAAATCCCACTCATCTGGCCTGTGATTGCTGTGATCTTTTGAAGATGCAAGGCTGGCTTCAGTCAGCATTGCAGTAGAGAAATTCTGGGAACTACACTAAAATAACATGGTTAAAGATCTAACTTCGGTTTGTTTGCACTCAAAATATGGGGAAAGGACACTAAAATGAAGATGGATAAAAATAATAAAAAAAGAAAACAGCCAAAATGAATGACTCTGAGATGCCTAATGGAGTGCTGCCTAGAGGGAATGCTGACTTAAAAAAGGTGGATTGATCCCCTTTCATTTGCACACAAGTGTCACTGAGCACCCTACCTTTTGACTCTTGCTTGTTTCTAATCTATCTTCTGTTTCCCATCAGTCTTGGTTATCTCTTAGTCTATCCTTCATCTCTTGGTGGCAGGAGCTAAAATAACCTTCTGCTTTGCATTGCTTGGATATGTGTGATATGAAGCCAGATGGCTGCAGAGATGAGCAATTGAGAGTGTCTGCACGTTATTGATTGCAGCTGCTGTTTTTGCAGTTGGAGGTGGTGGTAAGGATCCCAGCAGCAGCCAGTAACAGGTGGACAGAGAGTGATTTGGCTTGATGGTATGTCATTAATATCTTCTGGAATGGGGTTTTGTCAGCCCCGCTCTGGGCTTAGATCTCCTGCTGGTCCATGAGACCATAGGAATGGGCATATTCTATCTTGCACTTCCAGGTGCTGTTTGGGAGCTCACTTTGATGTGATCCCATTTTCTTGAAGCTGAACTCATTTTCATTGTTTCTTGCTCTTCCTCCTTTGTTTTCCTCTTACAGCTGCATTGCATTACTAAAAATACTTAAAAACGTATCATTTACTGAACTGCTTCCTCTGCTTGTTCTTGTTCCAGGCACAAACATCCACCTCTCTCTGAACACCTATCTCATTTGCTTAAATTAAATCACTGCTTCAGAGAAGATCTTCAATTTTAGGAAACAGCTTCTGTTGTTCTGTGACTCCAGCTTGTATCCTCACGTGCAACAAGAGACCAGTGCTCAAAATAAGGACCCGGTTTAACAATTAATGTAGGGAAGAGTAAGTAACGCCTCCATCCTCTAGGTTCGAGGTTGGAACCTCTTGGCTTATTGCTAAGAGTTAGAAAGGCTGTTTTGGGTCAAGGTAGCTTTGTCTGACTCTGCACTCTGGTCCTGTCAATGGCCAGGAGGAGATGCTGAAGCAAACATATAACTAGTGTATTTTCTGGACCTGTAACCCCTTGCCAGAGGCTAGGATGTTCCTTCTGGAAAGCAGTACTATCAGAGTTTGATTACTTCTTGGAAAATCTGGCTCTCCTACTCGGAATAACCTGAAATAAACCCCATGATGAGTCTCTTAAAGGATTCTGAAGGAACAACATAGACATAAAACAGCTTAGCTCTGATTATGCCCTGAAAACTATGCCAGTTCAGAGATTGAGAGGATCAGCCTTGTGATATTTGGAAGCCTGTGGTGGGGACAATGGCCTAAAGAGAGTACATAACTGGGGGCCACACAGGTGCCTGAATCCCTTGGGAACAAGCTTGAGATTTTCCTTCTCTCCATATCTTCCATTAGGGAACTTCTGCTATGCCAGCTCTGTTCATAAGGGGATTTGTGCCTCAGGCACTGCACACCTCTCTGCTCAGAGCCTGAGGCATGTTGGCATCTGCAATTCAAGAGCTTTCAGAATGAGAAGGCAGGCAGTTTGGGGCGGGATAAGGTACTTCTCTGTACACTAAGTATAGAAGTATTCCCATAGGCCAGGAAACTCCCACAAGGTGGCTCAGTTACACTCAACATGATGGCTGTGCATGCAGGTCTCTTTTTGTGTCTGAAATGGAGTCCAATTCGATTCTACTTTAAAAATTATATTCCCCACATAAAAACTTCTGGGGTTTTTTTTTGCATTTAGCCACAGCCACGTACACAATCATGTATAAATGCTGTGCATATGTTCACACATACAACTACTCTGGTTCTGTTTGTGGCTATTTCCTATCTGACGTGATCTGACTATAGCAAAAATTAAAATAAAGATCAGATTAGTTACCGTGGTAACAGCTACCCCTGCCTCATATGACGCACGGATCCTGTGAAGCGAAGGAGCACGTATCAATTTACACTCTTAATTTTTGGGACGTGCAGGGCTCAGCTCTTCCCAGGAGGTCCTCTGATGACACCAAGCACTATCCGTGCTTTCATTCAGCAGCTCATCCTCTTTGACTTTCTGTAAGTCACAAGAGCTCTGGAGCTGCTGCCACCATCTTTTGGTAGAAACAATCTTCATTTCAGTTTCTTTCTTCAAACAAACCGAAGAGAAAACACAGTGAGAAAAGTCAGGTATGGGGGGTACTGAGGCAGTGAGGGATGTTCTTGGTCTTTTAGGACATAGGCAGCACTGGGGCTGTCTTGGTTCATTTGTTTCCATGACTGTATGTCAAGGTTTTAAATGTTTCTGCCTTGTGTTGGAGAAAAACAAACAGTCTCGAGTAGGAGTAGTCAAATTAATGATGTCTTGTGGTGTGAGATTTCACTCGTTACATCTCCCAGCTATCAGATCTCTTAAGGTGTAGGATGAGACAAATTATCAGATCTGTAGGAGAAGAGAACATGAAGAGATAATACAGTTGACTGCAGTTAATGATTACTACCATGTGTCTATGTACATTACAGGGATAATATGTCTTTTTGACTCTTGCCCTCTGGACACACATCCACAGCATCTTTCATTCTGCATCCTTGGTCCCTACTCAGGACTTATTCCAGAGCTATCACGGTCTCAAAATCACACCTTTAAATGCATTGTCTCATATAACATCATTTCCTATCCAGGAAGCTTCAACCGACACAGAGTTTCTCACCATTGTGGTCAGGATTTATTGGATCTAATTAGACTGTTTCTAAAGCTGGAGTAAAGAGCCACAGGCTCTCATGAAACACCAAATCATACATTCTCCTGAGTTTCCCATGGAAAACCTTTCAGGAAGAGGTTTTGTTGTGGCCACGGTTTCATGCACTGCAAGAGGACATAATGTCCACAATGCAGTTTGAGGCATCTGTGTTTTCACAGCTGTAAGAACAGAAAAATATTACGACTGCTAATTATATTAATTGAAGCTGTGCTGCTGTTTGTGTGAACATTCACAGATTGGAATACAGATTTTTCCCATTGTCTTACTTGCAGACAGAAGCTGGGGGCCAAGCCTACAATACCCAGCCACACGTGTTGGGATTTCTGAAATACAGCAAAATACCTACTGTTCTTTAGAAATGTATTTTAAAAATGCATTCACTGAAAGCAACGTTTTTCTTTCCCAGAGGGACTCCATAGAGACTTTGACTCTTGAAATCTGTTTGCTTTCTCTAGCATCTCTAATTTGACCCATGTTCCTGTCCTCAGATCCTTTTTGTGCCCCTGCTGCTTTGTTTCTTTTTCCCCCTTCCCAGATTCCAGGGCCTTGCAGCTACCAGCTGCAACAAGGCACCGGCTCAGAAGGGCCAAGGTCCTTTACTCCGCAGTGCTCTTGCTGTGCTTATGGGAGGGCAGCTTCTGGCAGTGTGAGTGGGAATGATAGACTGCCTCTCAACACAAGTGCTCTATTTATGGGCTGTTAAGGACTCTGGCAATAATGCAGAGTTCTGAATGTCTCCTTGTGAAGACTGCAGAAGAATTGTCTTTCCTGCTTCATGGCTTACAACCAAAGCAGCTACTGTGGGATGGAGACTGTTACAAATACGAGGGTACCTGTGCCAGCTTCTGTTCTGTGCTGATGCAATTGCCTTGGCTGTGTTAGCAGTGAGCATTTGCAGAACGGTGCTCATCTGGTCTGGCCTAGACATTCACATTTTCTATGTAGGTTCACTTGACAGCAGCCAAATGTTGCCCTTCCTCCAGTTAGATTTATTTTTCACTCTCTGCTTAGCAGCTTACATTTTCAAAACCTTGTACAAACACAGCCACCCTCCCAAATTAGCTGGGAGATTTAAAAGCAGCTGCAGAGCCACGTCCTCTTCTGCTGTGAACATCGGGAAACTTAATGCAAAAGGACTGAGACAAGTGGAGGGGTGTTCGTTTCAAAACAGAACCAGTATTTGAGATGTGGTCACCCCAGAACCAAGTACAGGGGCACAGTCTCTTCCCCTGTCCTGCACACAACAGGGCTCTGTTGGCCTTCTTGCCCACCTGAGCAAGATGTATATCATATGTTTTGCTACAGAAAGAAAATGAGGACAAAGTCTTCATCAGCATGGTCTTGATGAGAGTAGTTGAAACAAGAGCAGGTTTAAGCCTCAGCCCTACCACAGCACTGTGGTGTGATCCTAAGCGAGCCACTTTGTTTTAATGTGTTTCAGTCAAAGGCAGGACAAGGATTTTCCCTGTGTCATCATCCTTTGTATGGGCTGGATACCAGTCATGCCCACCCCAATGGGTCTGCAAGACCTGAGTGTGGGATACATGCACTAGCCTTGCTAGGAAGCCAAGAAGCAGGTAGCAAGATGTCTGTTATCCTATTTGTGATCCTACCCTGCTGCACTTCCTATGCTCAGCTTTCCCTTGTTTTGCTGCTGTTTGGGGGCCCAAAGATTTGAATCTTTCCATCTTTCAGCCTGATAGTTTTCTGAGCAAATGTAATCTAACACTTAAGCAGACTTCCTCAAGCACAGTGTGTTGTACTTCCCTCCCAGTACAAGCTGTCTCTGTTGGCTCTAAGCTGCAATAACAGCTATCTTTAATCATCTTTCTCGTTCAGCTTGTAATAGGCAGCTTTACCACAGAAGATGGACTTGAGAATTTTCCCAGCCCGCATCTGGCATGATCCAGGCTGGTTTCTATTTCCTATCCCCTTATAATAATTAGTTGGTGGTGAAACCTGAGTAGAAGACGTCTGGCCTCAGAGAGCTGATATTTGCTTCCTCTGACAGATGAAAACAGGAGAGTAGGTGAAAAACGCTGGGTCACACTGCCCTCACAAGACTTACAGAAACAGCAGTTAATCTTCATCCTATAATAAATATCACTTGGAAAGTCTGAGCTTTCTGAACGGGATGTATCAGCAATCTTGGGAAGAGTTCCTGCCTACTGAATCAGTGACACAACACTGCAGCAGGTGTTGAATGTCTGTTTCTACCATCTTCTGCTTTCTATTGCCAGATCTTTAGATGCGGTACTGAAGTGGCAGTATTAGTGGAGGGTGGATGATTGGACTGGATGATCTTAGAGATCTTTTCCAACCTTAATGATTCTACCATTCTCCCATCTTCACCAAAAAAAGCATCATGAAGCCTTCCACACCCTACTGGCATGCTTTCCAGGCAGCTTTGCCCTGCTCCTGCAGCCTGGAAGACCCAGAAGGGTGGTAAAGTGAAGGAAGGAGAAGAAAACTGGATGCTGTTCTGGGGCAAGTGGTCATGTTTGATGCCAGAGAGGGGTTTAAACCTGCAGCCTCCCTGTACCTGCAAGGGTTGCCTAGAGCTTGTGGGAACTGCTGGCCACAGAATTGTCTCATTTCATTGCAAATCACATGTGGACAGACAGACTTTCTCTTGCACCTGCAGAGTTCTGGGCTCTGAGGATTGCACCTGGTTATAGGAACATTACAAGAGCGTGGTTAAAAGCTTTCACGTGGGCTGCATAGTCCCTTTACTCCTTTGTTTTCTATGGGCTCACCTGTGGGTGAGCGGAGCAGTGTGTTGTTTGACAGAGATTGCTTCTGGCACACTGAAATTGGCATTTGTCCTTGTTGGACCCAGCAGACGTGTGTAAGTACTCGTGCAGCAGGGCTGGGCGCATTAACACAGCAGGCAGTCAGCACCTGCAGTGCTGGAGCTACAGGGCTCTGCTCTAAGCAGCAGCAAAAGGAGTCAGAGAGCATCTTGAGAAGGGTCTGAATGCAACTTCCCCAGAAGCAGTGCTGCCTACCACAGTGAGTTTGGCAGAAATTAAAAAACAGGAGAAAATGGGAGCCTGGGGGGATTTTGCACCTGAAGTCATCCTCGTGTGCTTCCCTGCTGGGTGAATCACACTCGGGTGTCCAACCCCTCTGGTTTCTGGTTTTCCTGATGGAAACAGGGCACATAAGGCTTCAGCAGTTGTCAGAAGCTGATACTTCACTGAGGATCCCTTTTCTACATAAACCAAAAGCTGTTCTGCTCTAAATCTTGCCTCTTTCCTCCTCTAATAAAACATCTAAACAGCCAAATACCTTTTGTTATTTATATTCAGAGACTGTAGCTGTCCTTGAGTGTTTAAAGCAGGCTGAGAAATCCATTTCTTCGCATGGTAGAGTCATGTTTTTGCGTGAGCTGTCTGCTCTCAGGCCTGATTGCTGCTCAGTGGGTTTTGCAGTGAATCCAGTTTCTTTTAGTAGCTGCAGGAGGCTTTGGGGACCTGAAGCTGCAGCCTGGCACGCTGCATGGGTTGGGTTTTCTGACTTCTTACCTGGGTCCCCACTATGAGCTGCATTGCTGTGTTATTTCTGTGGCCTTTCATTTTTTAGTCAGCATGATGTCCTAATTGCACTGTGATGTCTTAATGTTCCAGGGAGCTCAAAGTGTTACAGGATGGAAGCGGGCCACAATTTATGTTTGGTATTTTCTCAGTGAAATCAGCAGCTCTCCTAGCTGCATTCCTAGTCTTGATGTTGATATGTTTCTTTGTGCTCCTGGGTAAGAGCAGCACATTGTATGATAGCCAACGCTGAGATGGTACCTTATGGACAGCCTGCTTAACCAATTATAGGCTGAGCAAATTAAAAACAAATGATGACAAGCAGGAGATGTGTAAGCTGGCACTCTCTCTAAGAGATCAAGGCATTTATTTCTTTGAGTAGCTCCCTAACAAGCTGCCAACTATTTTTTTCCATCCTTTACGTTGACTACCTTTCCTTCATTTCAGCTTGATGTCCTATTGAGATTCTGCCACCCCAAGAGATTCTCCTCCTCCCCAGCTTTTCCCTCCTGCCTGTTTTAGAGAGATTCCAGCCCACCCCAAGTTCTGTCTGCCAGGACCCAGCCTCAGTACTGGGAGAATAAAGTTTTGCAGCAGACCCATAAATCCATGCATAATGTTTCCTCTGAATCCTACCAGCTTTTACTGCAGGCTTTATTAATGCTTTCTAACACACATGCCACTTGTGATATAACCAGCCTATAAAGTGCTATCCGGGGAAATTTTATTGGATTAATATTTCCATTCCTCCTGCAGCCAAGCCCTGCTCTCTTCTGCTGCTCCCTCCCCACACAGGCACAGCTGCTCAAGCATTAGAGACAACTTTATGTTGCCCATAAAACTGTCTCACTGTCAGCTCAGTCCATTGGCTGCTATTTCTATTCTCTGGTCATTCAGCTGACTGGAGGCTTGAAGCAAGGTGCAGAGCAGGAGGGTTTATAGCCAAGCAGATGAGCTAGGGAGGCTCGAAATGGAATTAACTGTTTTGCAGAAGGGCTCTGAGCAAGGTGTGTAGAGGCTGTGTCACACCTAAGATGCCACGTGGGCAGATGGAGGAAGGGATGGGCACATCTCATTTCCTAAGTCACAACAACCTCTCTTCACTGAGTAAACCCAAAACACCACCAAACTGCACTTGGGCTGAGCCAAGGGTTGAGCTGCTTCCTCAGTCCCAGGGATGTTGCTGTGGACAGGGGATAAATTGCTCCATCTGAAATAGTCATGGATTTCCAGGCATTGATCTCAGACCTGGGAAACGTGCTTGAATGGCTGAAAGGTATAAATTGCTTTAAATTAATCATTGATTCAATCTGCCTCCCCAGAAGCTGGGATAACCACGCTATTGAATCAGGAATAATCTCCCGTTGCAGACAGAATTGTAAGAGGAATGCATGTATTCAGTGCTTTGGCTTCTTGCTCTTTCTGTGAGATATACACCATTTCCCACTGAGATGAGTAGATATTGTACAGTCCCCAGCAGCGAACAGAAAATCTCCAAGGGAAGTACGAGTGCATTTTCAATCCTCACAGCAACAAATCACACCCATTCAGG